GACCTCAAGCGATCCTCAGTCCTCCCACCTCGGCCTCCCAGAGTGCTGGGACTGCAGGTGTGAGCAAGTGAGCCCAGCACATTTCTCCTATTGTTGCTGCCCAACCAAGTTCATTTGCCCACTGCCCAAGAAGAAGCCACAACACTGAGACAGCAGGGTTTACCATAGAGAGTTTTCAATTCCAAATAGTGCTAAGTGGGGAGACGGGAGGAATTTCTCAAATTCGTGTCTACTTGAGTCTGCTAATTGGCTGGGTTTGGGTGGAACCATAGGGGTATAGAAATTGTCTTCTTTACTGACCAGGTTCTTGGGTGCGGTCACAAGACCAGTTGATTCGGTTCCTCATTATGGGCCGCTGGTCTGGGTGGGTCGGCAGTTCCACTGGAACATGGGACCTGGAAGATATCTCGAAAACTACCCCAAAGTTTCAAAATGTGATGTTATCTGTGGAGAAAGCAAAGAATCTTTATGGCCACCAGCTATGTGGCTCCAGAGTGGCAATTTATAGAGAAGCAAACGGGACAGTGGCTAATTTTTATCATTATTTTTAACTAGGCCTGTGCCTTATTTTTAGCTAGCCCCTTACCACACTTCTTGCCTTGCACCCCTTTATCAGTTGGAGAGGTGGTTTCACTATTAATCTGCCTTTTGTCAGTTGGCTTTCAGCGAACCTTCAGAGGGCGGAACGGGAAGTTTTCTCCTGGTCCCTACACCCACCCTTACCTAGCATACCGCTCTTCAGACCCTTGAGTTACGGAAAGCTCGGCACTTGTCCTCGAGGCTGCATCAGAAGAGCAAGAACAAGTGGTTTGAGGAGAAGGAAAGAAAATATTTTTGCCCTTTTTCTCATGCCATTCCCTCTGTTACACTTGGAATCTCTAAAGTGTCATCTTTTTGTATGATAATGAGTTGTAGGGTGGCTTGCAGCCCCTGTGTAGCTGCCGGACGGGGCTGGTCACTGGAAAGACCAAGGCAGCATTAGAGGGTTGGGACTTTCATCCCATCCCCACCCTTGGGGGAGCGGAGAGGGGCTGAAGGTTGAGTTGATTTTGTGAACTAAAATAAAATCTCAAGGTTCCCCCCCCCGCTACTGGCTGACTGAATGGACCCCCCTCTTGGCCAAGGGGATACCCTAAAACTGAGTTGCTGGCCATGAGAGGGGATGTCAGACATGCCTCATCATGCCCCCTCCCTTCTTGGGGACATCCTTTGTAACTCATAGACAGGCCTAAGGCTGTGCAAGACACACCTGCAGGTCCTCAATTCACATAACAAATCAGAGTCTGGGAATATGTCTGGTGGCTTGTCTCTGATTAACAGGCTTCCTGAAGTTAAAACATTCCAAGCCTTTAGGCAAAGCTTCATTTATTTAACCAATTACAAGTCAAAGAGTCTTTAAATCCACCTATAACATCTCAAAGCATGTAAGTCCATGCTTTGAGATGTCCCACCTTTTTGGGCCAAACCACTGTATGCCTTCCATGTATTGACCGATGACTTTACCTGTAATTCCTGTCTCCCTGAACTGTATAAAACCAAACTGGAACCCAGCCACAGCAAGTCCACTTGCTCAAGGCTTCTTGGGTGTGGCTTTGGGCATGGTCCTCAAATTTGGCTCAGAATAAACTAAATTACTTTACAGAATTTTGCTTCTTTTCCGTTGACAATTTAATCAATCATGCCTACATAATGAAGCCTCCACAAAAACTCAAAAGGACCGGGTTTGGAGAGCTTCCAGATAGCTGAGCATGTGGAGGTTCCTGAGGGCCTGGGAGCTCTGTGCCCCGTCCCCTACACCCTGCCCTATACATCTCTTCATCTGTATCCTTCGTGATATCCTTTATGATAAGCCAGAAAGCATAAGTGTTTCTCTGAATTCTGTGAGCTGCTCTAGCAAATTAATTAAACCCAAGGAAGAGTTGTGGGACACCTTATTTCTAACCAGTTGGTCAAAGGCACAAGTAAACCACTTGGGACTGGCATTCAGGTAAGCGGTGTCAGGATTGAACTGAATTAGAGCACATCCAACTGGAGTCCGCTGCAAAACTGATTGCTTGCTTGGGGTGTGGGGAGAAGTCTGTTTCTGAGAAAGGTGCATAGAAACGGAGTGCATTGGTTCC